GTTTTAGTCCTATCTAGGGCAATTACTTAATAAAAAAGTATTCACTAAATTAGTGTCGGATAAAACTATTTATCAAAATACTACTTAATCAAAGTGTGGTTAGGGAAAGCCACCAAATCAATTGGAGACTCTTAAAAAATGTGGAGGAACTACGTGAAAGCTAGATGGAAATAATGGGCGGGAAGAGAGTTGTGGGGCCTAGCTAAAAAAAAATCTTTTTTTCTTTACAACACTATCATAATCTCGCTCTAATATTTTCAAAAACTATATCAAATTACATCGAAATGTTTAACTTTTGAAATCAAAATATAAAACATGTCAACGCAAAAAAAAATACACTTGATTTAATTTTTACATCAAGAGTTTAATTTTTAAATCAAGAGTTTAAATTTTTTAATGTAAAAATTAATTCATGATTTTTTTTTTGCGTTGAAATGTATTACATTTTGATTTAAAAACTTAAACATATAAATGCAATAAAAACTTGCAGTCTAATTTTTATTGCTTCAAGTCTTTTTTGAAAAATAATTGAAAGATGTATAAAATAATGATGAGGTCCTAATTTTAACACTCGGATCTGCTTAAGAAAAAAATTTGAGCTTAAAAAACTTTGGACACTCGAATCTTCATATTTTTGTAAAAAGTTTTTAGCTAAAAGTTGATGTAGAATAAAAATGCATATGAATTTAACTAAAAACTATGTTGGGTGAATATATTGATAGTGTTAGTAACGAAACACTATATTGACCAGGTGAATACGAAATTTCCGTTTAAACAGATTGAGGATTAGATTTATTCACGGTGAATACATAGTTGCAATTAGCTTTTCACCTCATATGGTCTTCAGAACTTTTTTAAATTTTATATATTCAATATTGGTGTCTGGAGAGGGGGGGCTGGGGGCCTAGAGTAATTAGGGCTTAAAAAATTGGAGAAGGAATTTTTTGAAAAAAGATTATTTTTTTCATATATAGGCCCCCATCACCTCTCTTCCCACCTATTTCACCCGGCTAGCTTTCACGCAGTTCTTTAGTATTTTTTGAGCAGTCGCCAATTGGTTTGACGACTTTCACTAACCATAGTTTGGCCAAACAGTATTTGGGTAAATAGTTTTAATCCGATCCTAATTGTGCAAATACTGTTTTTAGCATTATTTTGGGGAAAAATTGAAAGAATACAAGATAACCTTCAAACAGTTATGACAATTTCGATTGTAAGCCCTAGTAATAGACATATAATTAATCACCTCATAACAAGCAATCTGACTCGCTAGACACAAAACGAGCAATTTTAAGCCTAAAATGACCATAACTGAAACGCTGTCGAAAGTACTCCAAAAAATTCAAATATCCAATCAAACCAACTCGAACTAAAATAAAAACAAATACTCCGCACTACTAAAGAAAAAAATAAAATTGGACTATAAAGACTTTCCACAAAATATTCACTTTTTTTATCACAAAAGAGCGACCGTTATATTAAAATTCAGAACACATACAAGACAACCTTCAAACAGAATTTACAGATCCAATCGTGAACCCTAGTAGTAGACTTAGAGTCAGACACCTCATAACATGACTCGCTAAACTTGAAACGGACAAATTTAGGCCTAAAACAATCGGAACCGAAACCCTGCCTATCAAAAGAACCCCAAAAATCCAAACATTCAAACCAAATATAATCTACTTGTACTAAAACAGAAACAAGTGATACTAAAGAGAAAATAATACTGAAATAAAATCTTTCCACGTATCTCTTCTTGGTATGGAAATGGTTCTGGAGGAGGACGAACTTTTACAATATGGGTGAATACCAACTCCACCACCGTCGAAGTGGCCGACCAAGGCTTCACGATCACACCTCGATACAACCTCTCAGCCGCACATCATTCATCCGACAACGCTATCTCCTCCGACGTAGTTGCAATCACAAGCGTTAGAACACTGATAATCAATATAATATGCCGATCCAACCCCATAATCAGTGGCGTATCCAGGGAATTTGGCGAGTGGGGGCAAACTTGCACTACAATTTAGTCTGATATTTCACAAATAGCAAAACACATTATTAATATTGTTTGATTAAATTTAGTTTAAGATATATATGTACAAGTATGATTAAAAAGAAGATTAATTTATATTAAGGGTGTGTAAGATGCAATTGCGTATAAAATTTGAGAAAAATACCCAAATACATGGTATAAGTTAAACATAACAAAATTTAGTGATTTTTTTAGCATTTCTTTCGTTTAATATGAAAGAAAACACTCTTAATCTTATTTTATATTTTCCCCCCTACATTTAACTCTTATTTTGAGCAATTTCTGGTAAAATTTTACATATATATAAAGGTTGGGTTGGGGTTGAGTGGGGGCAGTTGTCCCAGCTGCCCCTATAGTGGATACGCCACTGCCCATATTGATAGGTGCGGCGGAAAATCTCAACCCGACAAAGAGGGAGACGGTCACTAGAGTTTCTCTCTAGAGAAAAAAGAAAACCGTGCATATTCACAAAATATTCACTTAACAATGTCAATTATTTACTATCTCATAATTAACTATTGTCCTCCAGAACTATCACATAATTAGTGCTGATAACTATTGCCCATATTGATGAATATTCCGTATTATTTTTAAATCTTTCAGTCAAATCATCATCATACTTAAAAATAACAAATCAAACATGAGTTTAAAGCATTCAGTTAACAATGTTAATTATTACCTGCTTACCAATAAGTGTTAGAGTAATATTGCCAAATCTCAGGCATGAGTTTAAAGCAATCAGACATGATTCTTTTACTCTATAATTATTACCAAATCTCATGTAAATAATCAGAACAAATTAGAACATAATTGTTAAAAGCACTCATTCAACAATGTAATAAAGTTGGTTATGTGGTTAGCTCTTTAGAAAAAAGGTTACATTTAATCAATATTTTCAATTCTTACTATACGTTTAATTTATTTCCTAGTATTGTCTAGACATGTTATTTTCGGTGGCGTAGTATCACTTGTTTAACGTATATAGCTTTCCCACCATCATGTGTCGGGTATTCTTGTATGCTAGTAAGAGGTTTGTAATGGCTTCTTCATCAATAGTTTACATGGCCGAATTTCTTCTGCATCAATATTGAGGCCGATCCCCCCCCCCCTCTTGAACCAAAGTCATCTAGGTCAAGGGTGATGGGATTAAATGGATGGTTTTCTTTCCAGTGGTTGGTGAAACCGGTACAACTTTTGCACCTAGCTCCTTATCAATGGCTAGCAAAACTGGGAAGTTTCATAGATCCTTTTCGGTGACTGGTCAATTAAATCAGACTCATTTCAAGTAACATGGGCAGTCACACTTCGGTACCAGTCTATATGATATGGTTTCAAGGTTAGAGAACATGAGTGTTTTATAGGTCTTTTGTGTTCTTTATTTCACCTTAGTGTATCATGTAACATTAGGGAAAAGGGGCAAATAAGCCCACGTACTAACAAAAAAAAGTCAAATAAGCCCTTAAATAGGAGGCTCTGTCCGGCCGTCGCCATTTGGGGAAGTTCCCGGTGAAATTTTTTGATGAATTTTTTTAGCATCTTATTCATTAAGTCTAGTTTACTCATACCAAATTTCAGCTAAAAATTCAATCGGGAAGGCCTTCAAATAAATTCTTGAAGATAAATGTGCTTTTAACTGCACAGTTATCTTCAAGAATTCATTTGAATGCCTTTCTGATTGAAGTTTTAGCTGAAATTTAGTATGAGTAAACTAGACTTAATGAATAAGATGCCCAAAATATTTCATCAAAAATTTCCACCGGGAACCGCCCCAAATGGTGACGGCCGAACAAAGCCTCCTATATAAGGGTTTTTTTGACATTTTTTTGTTAGTACGTGCCTACATAGGCTTATTTGGCCCTTTTCTCTGTAACATTATGATGGTAATGTTTTGACTTATGATTGTTATATTTTTTGTTATACTTAACAATGATAATTATTATATTCTTTTAATAAGGCTAATAAATCATATTTGCGGAATAAAACATACTTAGTTCTATTTTTATAATTTTGTCAATCCTATATTGAGTAATTTTTAATCTTTTTAGAGATAAAGGTCAGATAGGGTCTCGAACTTGAAAAAAAATGTCAAATAAGGCCATATTTAGGATGCTCTGTCCGGCCGACGTCATTTGGGGTGGTTCCCGGTAGAATTTTTTGATGAATTTTTTTGAAAATCTTATTCATCAAGTCTAGTTTACTCATATCAAATTTGAACTAAAACTTTAATCGGGAAGACATTCAAATGAATTCTTGAAGATAACTGTACCGTTAAAAGCGCAGTTATCTTCATGAATTCATTTGAATGTCTTCCCGATTGAATTGTTAGTTCAAATTTGATATGAGTAAAGTAGACTTAATGAATAAGATTCTCAAAAAAATTCATCAAAAAATTCCACCGGGAACCACCCCAAATGGCGTCGGCCGGACAGAGCATCCTAAATATGGCCTTATTTGACATTTTTTTTCAAGTTCGAGGCCCTATCTGACCCTTATCCCATCTTTTTATTGGCCGTATGTATGCATAACTTTTTACTAATGTTTCCAAATTGACTATTTTATTAATTTTCATTCATTCTTTGGTCAAGTCTTTTTATTCCACAATGCGTGCTTGATCACAATCATTGAAAATTTGAAATTCAATGCCTAGTGTATAAATGTATAATTTTCTCACTCCCACACTGGGATGAAATTGATGAGAACTTTGTAACTTTCTAGCCAACTCCTATTAAATTCGCCATTTTCTTATTAAATTTGCCATTTTCTTATTCTCTATTTTTAGTATCACTTTTCTATCACATTATGATTTGATTTTAGTGCTTCAAACAAACTTTTAATGGATGCTTTTACTTGGACTGTAATTTGCTGGTTTGGTCTGGTCTGATCTGGTCTGGTTTTTTTGTATTTTTATAACTATCCAAATGTGATCTGATCTGCTTTGATCTGTTCTGGTCTGAGACAAATTACAGTCAAGTAACAACATCTAAGTGTTGAGTTTTTATAGAAATGAAAGAGTCGTTGGTTAATAATTTAATACACTAGTAGTATTACATACCTGGCATCTCATAAATTTTCTTTTTCTATTATGCTACCATAATAATGAAGTGAATCTTAATTTAAGGAAATCCCATATTCCCCATCCTCATTACATACTTACATAGCCAATTGTGAGATGAAATTTTTTATGTTCACATCCGAACTTCCTCCTACCATCAAAGCCTCCCCTGCTAACCCCTTCCACTTGATTGCATTTCTTCGAATTTCATCGGCTCTCGCCCCTTCCATTACCTCCAGAATGCGATCGTTGACTTCGTGTCGCGTAACAATGTCATGCTCATTGACCTTAACTCGGACCCCGACTTGCCAAACATCATCAATGAATTTGGCATTGGTGGGTTGGTCAACCATTTGGGGCATAGCAACGACCGGCACGCCCAAGCTCAGCGCCTCGAGTGTGGAGTTCCACCCGCAATGCGTAAGGAAGCACGCGACCGCCTTGTGGGACAGGACCTCCACTTGGGGGCACCATTTTAGTATGAGCCCTCTCTGTGCCGTGTTTGGCTTGAAGTTTTTGGGAAGTTTGGATTGTTCGGAGTCTCGAACGGCCCAGATGAAGTATTTGTTGGATTGGGCCAAGCCCATTGCAATTTCTTGCATCTGGTGCTCTGACCAGACCACTACGGTGCCAAAGGATGTGTAGACCACCGAACTGGGCTCTCTGGCGTCGAGCCATTTCATGCAGTCTTGGTCTGACTTGAACAGGTCAATGTTGTTTTCAGATCTTGGAACCAACGGTCCAATTGTCTTGATCGCCCATCTTTCTGATAACCACTTCACTGCCTAACACATGCAAGTGGATATTCTCAAAAAAAAACATGCAAGTAGATATAAATTACGAAGTATTTAGAGATTATTACAAGTTGACCAAAATATAACAAATTCACCTTTAAATAGAATAAATGTTAGGCAATTTAGACCCTGACTCACCTCTAATTCAAAGAATTTCCAAATATTTGAAGTAAAATTCTGAGTAATATTTTTTCCAAAAACATTCTTTATATCGTCTCAGTGTCGTAACTCTGTTCCTAACGGTATCCTATATCTTCTTTTGTTTTTAATTAAAATGATACTCATATAAGGCTTATTTACTAAATAATTTCTAGTAATCCTATTTGGAACTATTACTGTTTCGAGTAATTTCTACAAGTAATTTAGAGAATTAACAGACCCTTCAATGTCTTCAGATCATTTTAGGATTTTAATTTTATTTGCTGCTCTGTATTTCTTTTGACCAGACAGGTCCTTTTCACTACTGAATCTAGTCTTACAGTATAGAGAATAGAAAATCCAATCTTAATTGTTACTACGTACCGAGTACTATACGATAGTAATAGCTTTTGGACCTAATAATAACTTAGTTATCTAAGTTGGGTCGATATTACCGAAATTTTGTGATCTACTATAATTTAAATTGATCTGATCTAAATTAAATAAAGGAAAACGCTAGGGTACACCATATAAAAACCCCAAAAAAACTCATTTCCCTTTTCTCTCCCTTCTCGCTTTCCTCTTTACTCAATTCATTCGAAAGTTCTCTATCTTTTTATGTCAAAATTATGAGAGATCATCTTCTCCATCTTCCTCTTCCCTTTTTTATCCTCTTTTTCTCTACCTTTTTATGTCAAAATTTTCCATTATTTCCACAAAATTAATTTATTTTATCTTATTTCCTCTATTTTAATTATTTTTCTATTTGTTCAAATTACATGTAAATCGATCACACATACAACTACATCATTCATTTCGATGTATATAGACAATTAAATTTCTTGTTCATCCAGACAATTTAAATTGATCATACCAACAACTAAAGTTGATCACATAGAAAACTATTGTTTGTGAGCCGCACAACTATTATCTGTGTGATAAATATTGTCTGTGCACGCAGACAAATACAGGAAAATATTGTCTGTGCACACAGGCACTGCACAGATATAGATTGATTTGCCAGCTCGTGTCGGTGTCAGGCGACTGTCAGTGTACTATTTTACACGGAAGTTAATGTCTGTGGGCACAGACAAAGTTGTTTGTGTACAGAGACAATAGTTGTTTGTGCTCACAGAAAACTCCGTACAAGAATTTTGTGTACAAGTTGTGTACAACTTGTGTACCCCTAACGTTTCTCTCAAATAAATCTAGGGTTATGCTTGGTGTACACATAAATTGTACACATTTTGTATACAATTTTGTACACAGTTTGTTTCAACCGCATAATTTGATCTTATAATGTCTCATCGATATACATTCGTGAATCGTGACTCGATCTTTAATAATGGCATTTTTAAATACTACGTAAAAATTAATATATTGTTCATGCCTTGTATTTGGCATGTGCAGTGGGATTTATTTATCATTTCATCTTATATCAGACTGGATTTGATTTAATAAATCAAGATGAACTTTCATCCAACCAAACCAAACGGGAATATATTCAACTAACTGAACTAGACTTGCACAAATTACATGACTAATTACATTTCTAAGTGATGCTACGGACTTACAGAACTAGTATTGGGCAAAAGAACAATTAGGAGACTAAAAGTATAGATCGATCTCTTATCAAATTCAAATGATTTTTTTCATTTATTCTAACTTAATTAAATATTTTCACTGTATAAACATTAACTTTTAATTTTTAAATTGATATATAGTCATTAAAAAAATTCGTGGTAAATAAAGTTTTTCTTGTAAGAGCTAGTGGTGGTACTATATAAAGTTAGAGATCCTCATTTAGTCATTTAATTCTAGGGCTCATGAACCCATGGAGGCCTGCTCATCCAATTTACTAAAAAACATGACCCGACCCAATATAGTTCATGGGTCAGACAAACACACCATTTCCAGAGATGAACATGGGATATAGTACTCCGTATTTTAAATTCGTTTAGGCCCATTGATCTAGCCTGTCAAGATTCACCCAGGCCCATATTAACTTTAACTAAACACAGTCCAGAAGCCCATTTAACTTGGTTGAAAGACTAAACACTCGTAAACGGTAAAATGCAAGCTAGAATAAAGCAATTAAGAAAGGAAATATCTTATGTACTTCGTATATTATTACATCAAACACAAATTGAATAATTAATGGTGATATGGAATAAAATGAAGTTCTTGATCATTGTTAGTGACAGACTTATCATAAAGCTCGGCGAAGTTCTTGATCTTATGTTCTTGAATAATTAATCTGCTATGAATAACCCGCTAACATAGCCCGTTATCCGCTAGCCGATAACCACTACATATGGGCTATGAAGCACGGATACTTCACTAGGGTGTCGTATCGGAAACGTTTTTGTATCCGATACTCTAGGATACCCGTACTGTACGTTCTCGGACCGTATCTGCAATTTTTAAAAGTTTCCATTTTTTTGGTAATTATTTTAAAATTTTGAATACTCGTATCCTGACGGCTACCCGTATCAACTTTTTCAACAAAAAACGCCCAAAGAAAAACTTTTTGAAAAAATACTCAAAATTTACATAATAAAATTCTTAAAAAATGAAAAACTGAAAATAATTTTTACCTTGCTTTTATGTGATACACAACTAATAGGCCTATTCCTAATTCACTCATCCTCATATCCCTAATTTTAATTATCCCTGGTAATTAATAGCTCAAACGGAAATATGTATTAGAACTTTTAAAATATTGTTTTCTTTCTTCATTATTCTAAAACTTTGAGTACTTGCACATTTCAAAACTATCATTGTTTTACTTATTTCTCATTTTAAATTAATGACTTATTGGCTATATTTATATTTCGATGTGCACTAGTATATATGAGATAAAATATGAACTTATTTCTAAGTATTTTGAAAATGTGGAATGCTTCAATGCCATGAATCAGTAGACGTCAGAAGGTAATATATGTCTATTTTTTTCAAAAAAAAAAAAATTGTATTTTCAATATTTATAAATACACCCCTGTAATTTTTAGTATTTATAAATACACCCTCATAATTTTTAATATTTATAATTATGACCCCGTATCTGTATCCTACTTTTTTGGTTTTGTCATATCTCCGTACCCATTTCCGCGTTTCCGCGTACCTCTATCGGTGCTACATAGCATATGGGTAAGCCCTATCCAGACTCTTAAGCCAATCAACATAGACGGGTACGACTAAATTTTATTAATTCAGCCCTACCCGCCGATCCCATTAACTTTTTTATATTGGGCCCAGTTAATATTCATTAGTTTTGGACGAGTCTGGCCCAGTCCATTCCGTTGTATAAAGTAACGCGGGAGTAAAGTAAACACACTCTTGGTACCTCCTTTTCCAAGGCGTGAAATGTGTTGAACAACAGACAATCGGCCTTCCCCATGTTTCTTGCCTGCTTCAACGTAAACTCTTCCACTTCGTCCGCAATTTCGCCGAACAAGGAAAACGACGGCAATTCCATCGGCGCCGGCAAAGCAGGCAGAGACACCACCCGTTCTCCGACGCGCCGCCCCTGAAGCATGTGGTGATAGATGCTGCAAACCGAAGCAGACTGTGTGAACAGAGCAGCCACGCGCAGCCCACGCGCTCTCCCGATCTCCGCTAGCCAAGGCATCATCGAATCGTACACTAGAAGTTTGGCCCTCTTTCGCTTCTCGATGACGGCGGCGACCCCCTCCGAGACGGCGGCCTGCACGCGCGCGCGGTATTCCTCGAACGTAGGCTGTGCGCCGCCGCCGTTTCCGTCGGAGATTAACTCTAGCGTGTGTATGATTTGGGAGAGGGAGGATTGGTGAATGGATTTTGCGACGTCGTGGGTGAGGACTAAGGTGACATTGGGGCGGCCGCCGGCCGCCGTTAAGAGACGGCAGAATTGAAGCATAGGGTTTGTGTGACCTTGATATGGAAATGGGACTGCTATGATGTCGGCCGGTGTCTCCATATCCATTAACGTAATTATATCTCGATTTAAGCTTGTGATCAATCACTGTTAATAAATTCTAGAGGCCATCTGTTCTTAAATGAGTGGAAAGATAAAAGATGACACACAAGACACGTATTTTTCATGTACTCCGAAGTTCTCTAAAATAAGGTGGGCACAACATTTAAGCCTAAAATTATAGGGGTAATGACTAATGAGTAGTGTAAAAAAACGGTGGAAAAGTACTGATAAAGTATATGCGCTCAGACCCCATGGCCCACATACTCAGAAGGTTAAACATCATCATAGGGGCATCCACGTGGTAGCCTTCGGCCAGGTGGGTCCCGTAACGGCCAGAGACAGAACAGCTCAGGAAACCCTCCGTAGACAAAATGGGTCCCCCATTGACCGGGGAACGCATCGGCCAAAGACATCGCATCGGCCAAGGACTATCCCGGTAGAATGTATTTTCCTATTTTAATTCACTAAGTGTTGTACTCAGCCCATTAGTGGTCTTATTTCATCCAAAAAATACATGATTATTGTAATAGGTTTCCTAAGCCCATGGCTAGGAGCCCAAATCCACATTTACTTCATATATATAGCCCCCAAGGGGTAGTTATAAGGGGATTGAGAAATATTAATTGTTCACTTTCTCTATCTAGTTCTCACTTCTCTCTAGAATTAAATACTCTATCAAGTATGAATGAGAAATAAAATGTAGAAAACATCAGAGACAGCCAAACAGGTAAAAACAATGTTTAGACTCTCATTTTTAGCAGGTAACGAGTACGGGACGGGGAATACCCGTTTTATTTTAACGGGTGACGGGGCGGTTACGATTTTATACATGCTCACCTCATTACCCGCCATATACCCGCCCCGTTTATTTTAGTATGGGAGCTGGTGGTGCTGGGGGGCAGAGGCGACGACGTTTTTTTATTTTTACATTTTAATTTTTTTTTTATTTTTTTTTACATTTTTAATAATTTTTGACATTTTGTTATTATTTTTTTATGAATTTATTATTAATTAAGACATTTCAAAATTCTCAGGGTACATTGTCCATATACATATAAATAGTCTTACTAGGGGAATAAAAAACATGTAGTCCTATTTGTGCTCTTGGATCATTTTTTTTTTGTACTTTTCTTTGGGATATGACACTACTTTCTTCCCGAATAGATCTCCATCAATGAAATGTGATGATCAGTCATGTGAATCAACTTTGAAAAGGAAGAGAGTAACTCGAATTTGTTTGTGTTTGTTTTTTTTCAAAAAAGGTTTGGGAATAGCAAGATTGTGGGAGCATGTTGAGTAGGCTTATTTTCAAGTGGAAATTTTAGATTAATTCTTGACAGTGTTGCTGCATAATTGCATAATTTAGAGGGGGTAAGAGGGATTCTGTAACTTTTTGGAGAGTGTGGCGTGCTAGAAATGGATTTTGACATTTATGGTAAAGACATGGAGAATATAAGAGCACATGCAATGGTGAACTATATACATTATAACTTTGTTGGCCACATCAGCTATTTCTAATTAACCCACTTTCTAACAATGTGATACTTCCATGTTTTACCTATCATGTGTGTCTCTTGAATAGGCTCTCCAAATCAACTAAAAATAATATTTATTTTGAAATACTTTTAAATTGGGAAGATGTCATGATATTTTAAACGCATAAATAAACACTGTTAAAAAGGCATATTTTTAAAATATGTACAAAACATGTGTTTTGTTAAGTTAAAAATAGAAAATATGAAAATTTTACAACATAGAGAAACTGAAAAATATCAACATGAGAAAATTAAACATTTCTTAAAATTAATCAAGCAAGTGTTGGGTTTTACCGTTGCATTTCAATGTTGTACCTTTCAGTTGAATTTTAATTAACTTAATATATTATTTATCCAATAAATTAAATATATTTGACAGTTATCATTTTAGTTCAAACTTCTCTCAATCTAGGAAGTAGCTTGTATTGGCTAATTTGCTTGCCCAAACTAGGAGGAAAAATCCATTGCAATGGTAGGTTAATAGCTTTAATATTTTAAAAATTGCAAACAAGTCACTAATTTTAATCATTGAAGATGCACTAATGAAGAATTTTAAATTCATTGAGTGCGGCATATTGAGTGCGGGCGGCACAAGTGCACTTGGGCGGTGGATCAGCAAGAGTTAGTTCACTCCAAAGGCGTTGGAGTTTGTTGTGATAAACGGCAATAGTGTCGTCATGTTGGTTAAGGGTAGATATTTGGCGTTCAAGGTCATAAATCCGAGGTCCACTAGAGGTTGAGAAACGAGCCTTGAGGTCCGACCACACTGTGGCGGCATCGGGAGCATAAAGGACGGTGTGAGCAAGGTTGACGTGAATAGAGTGGAGGATCCATGACATGACCAAATTGTTAACCCGGTGCCATCGGTCGTGGTTGGGGTCGTCACGAGAAGGCATGGGAAGAGAGCCATCAACAAAAGAAAATTTATTTCGGCCACGTAAAGCCATTATCATGGCGAGAGACCAAGCATTGTAATCATCTAGGCCGGTGAGCAGGTGACCAACCAAGGCGGCACCGGTGCTGTCGGAAGGGTGGATGAAATACGGGCTATCTGTGTCATGAGTGGAGGGGTGATGTAATGGGATGTGGGTGGTTGCAGAGGTAACTCCGGTAGTTGTGTGGAGGGGTGGGGATGTGGGTGATTCATCCTCTGATACCATATTAATTGTGAAAAATATAAAGAAATAGAAGAGAAAATAAAGGAAGGAAAGAGAATCTAAAGAATGAGATAATAATGCAATCTCTTATACGTAGTATTTCATACGTGAGGCATGCATGGGTTTTATAGTACCATGCAACGGTCATAAAATTAAGATGAGCAAATAAATAATTCCTATATAATGATTAATGAATCTAGTTTATGTAAAGAACATAAAGACAAAATACAATAAATGAATAACGTATACTTGAATTTTAAATTCTTCAACTAACATCATCGGAGGCTGAATGACAAACTAGGACAACCAAATAGATGTGATCATGACCGATAGGCTATTTGGAAGTCACCATATTTGAATTGTGTTGGGTGCAACTTTGATGGATCAATGTTGGATGTCTACGTTATTCAGTGCGTAAGTGCATGCCTTCGGCCCTTCACAACCAAAAGAGTAGATTTCCTGGAGAAAAAATTCCTTGATTCTGTCAAAAGTGACTCCCAGATGGGCAAAAGTCAAGAATGGAATCTCTTTCGAGTATCAAAGAGTAGGGGAACTTGGTGATAAAAAGGTTGAATTCGAAATAAATTGAATTTTGAACCCTTTTTTTACTTTTAAATGGGTGGTTTTTTTTATATTATTTGGGGTTGATTCGCTAGATTGCAGGTTTTGGTAATGTTATTTTTTTACTAGACCTAGTGTAAAAAGAATTTAGATCTACGAGGGATGCATTTTTTTCCTCTGAATGGTGGTTTTGCGGGAAATGTCCCTGGTTGTCTTGTATTGCGTCAATTATTTATATCCTCCGTATCATTTACAGTTTTTGCGATGTATGTTGTTTATTATTAATTATATGTTTGTTTAATTTAGTTTCAATTACTTTTGAAAACCAGCAAAAGTTTAAAAAGATTTTCGCTCCACTAATTATGCTAAAATGAGATAGGAACATTTATTTATATGTATGCCAAATTTAAAAGAAAAACATTTTCAAAATGGAGTATTTCATTTAGTCTTTATTACTCCATATGGATCCGGAGTACGGATAAATAATCCTAAACAAAAAGCACATGACAAAATAGGTATAAATAATCATACCTATTTTGTTTTCCAGGATTTAGAATAATGTATAATTGTTTTTGAAGCTCTAGAATACCATGAAAACCAATAATTGCTACTGTTTTTGGGGGTACATTTTCTGATGTGTATAGTATTATTGCCCAAGTAAAATTTTAAACTTGTAGAATTTTGTATACAATTTATCCCAAGGGGACAATTGAATTTTGAACCCTTGTTTACTTTTAAATGGGTGTTTTTTTTATATTTTTGGGGGTTGATTCGCTAGATTGCAGGTTTTGGTAATGTTATTTTTTTACTAGACCTAGTGTAAAAAGAATTTAGATCTACGAGGGATGCATTTTTTTCCTCTGAATAGTGGTTTTGCGGGAAATGTCTCTGGTTGTCTTGTATTGCGTCAATTATTTATATCCTCCGTATCATTTACAGTTTTTGCGATGTATGTTGTTTATTATTAATTATATGTTTGTTTAATTTAGTTTGAATTACTCTTGAAAACCAGCAAAAGTTTAAAAAGATTTTCGCGCCACTAATTATGCTAAAATGAGATAGGAACATTTATTTATATGTATGCCAAATTTAAAGGAAAAACATTTTCAAAATGGAGTATTTCATTTAGTCTTTATTGCTCCATATGGATCTGGAGTACGTATAAATAGTCCTAAACAAAAAGCACATGACAAAATAGGTATAAATAATCATATCTATTTTGTTTTTCAGGATTTAGAATAATGTATAATTGTTTTTGAAGCTGTAGAATACCTTGAAAATCAACAATTGCTACTGTTTTGGGGGGTACATTTTCTGATGTGTATAGTATTATTGCCCAAGTAAAATTTTAAACTTGTAAAATTTTGTATACAATTTATCCCAAGGGGACAATTGAATTTTGAACCCTTAGCTTGTTTACTTTTAAATGGGTGGTTTTTTTATATTTTTGGGGGTTGATTCGCTAGATTGCAAGTTTTGGTAATGTTATTTTTTTTACTATAACTAGTGTAAAAAGAATTTAGATCTATGATGGATGTATTTTTTTTCCTCTAAATGGTGGTGATGGAGTATATGGCCCAGGAACCCCCGGCCCATAGACTCCTACTTCTCCTACACAAGTCCATTGAGCCCAGGAAACAACTCAGGCCAAAATGCAGCGGCCCAAGCCTCAACGTAGCCCAGAATACGCACTGGGGTGCCTTCGGCCTCCTTGACCGAAGGCTCTTCAACTCACAAGATAGCCTTCTCTGGCATAAGAAGCTACTGGGAGAAAAACGGGCGAAAACATAAGCCTTCGGCATTTTCATGCCCTCGGCTACACGAGGAGCCTTCGGCCAAACACACTCGATCAGCGAAGATTCCTTTTGGAGACAGACCAACCACCGCATTTAAAGCTACGTCACATCCGCCAACCGCATTCAATGCGGTGAACGTACCACTGCCGGTGCCAACCGGTTGATGTGACCCTTCGGCCGTTGGATTACTGACACGTGTCCTCTCATCGCATTTATTGTTGCTATAAATAGCAGCCCATTTCTCCTTGTAAAACAGGATCTACATCCCAACTCCACATCTCGAGTTCATTTAATAAAATCGACTCTCTCTCCTCCTATTTGCTCTGACTTCTCTCTAAGTTATTCCCGTAATAACCCCTCGGATAAGATACCCCCCGGGTAGACCATCCATCATTTGGTGCTCTCGTTGAGAGGTCAGAACAATCAAGTAAGAAACCCTCCCCCTCTACCAAACACAAAACACTTACCAAAAATGGGAAGAACCACCCGTGCCCAGTCCAAAACCCTTGAGGAGAACCACATAGCCCCCGGCGAAACCAACGGGGCTGAGGCCTCC